TTCTTTCTTTCTTTCCATCTTTCTTTCTTTCTATCTATCTATCTATCTATCTATCTATCTATCTATCTATCTATCTATCTTCTACCTTTCTTTCAATTTTTCTTTCTTTCTATATTTCCATCTATCCATCTATCTATCTATCTTGCTTTCTTTCCATGTTTCTTTCTTTCCATCTATCTATCTATCTTCTACCTTCCTTTCTTTCTTTCCATCTATCCATCTATCTATCTATCTTGCTTTCTTTCCATCTTTCTTTCTTTCTTTCTTTCTTTCTTTCTTTCTTTCTTTCTTTCTTTCCATCTATCTATCTATCTTCTACCTTCCTTTCTTTCTTTGCTTCTTCTACCTTCCTTTCTCTTTCTTTCTTTCTTTCCTTTCTTCTTTCTTTCTTTCTTTCCATCTATCTATCTGTCTATCTATCTATCTATCTATCTTCTACCTTCCTTTCTTTCTTTGCTTCTTCTACCTTCCTTTCTCTTTCTTTCTTTCTTTCCATCTATCTATCTATCTATCTTTCTTTCTTTCTTTCTTTCTTTCCTTTCTTCTTTCTTTCTTTCCATCTTTATTCTACCTTTTTCTTTCTTTCTTTCTCTCTCTCTTTCCATCTTTCTCTCCATCTATTTATCTATCTCTATTTATCTTCTACCTTCCTTTCTTTCCCACTTTCTTTCTTTCTTTCTTTCTTTCCATCTATCTATCTTTCTTCTACCTTCCTTTCTTTCTTTTCATCTTTCTTCTACCTTCCTTTCTCTTTCTTTCATTCTTTCCTTCCTTCTTTCTTTCTTTCTATCATTCCATCTATCTATCTATCTTTCTTCTACCTTCCTTCCTTCCTTTCTTTCTCTTTCTTTATTCTACCTTCCTTCCTTCCTTCCTTCCTTCCTTCCTTCCTTCCTTCCTTTCTTTCTTTCTTTCTTTCTTTCCATCTGTCTATCTATATCTATCTATCTTCTACCTTCCTTCCTTCCTTTCCATCTTTCTTCTACCTTCCTTTCTATTTCTTTCTTTCTTTCTACCTTCCTTTCTTTACATCTTTCTTTCTTTCTTTCTTTCTTTCATTCTATCTTTCTCTCCATCTATCTATCTATCTTCTACCTTCCTTTTTTCCTTCTTCTCTTCCTCTTTCTTTCTTTCTTTCTTTCTTTCTTTCTTTCTTTCTTTCTTTCT